TTCATGGCAAGAGACATTTAGAGGTGGTTTGCCATTGCTTGGGTCCCTGTTGCAACTTTGGTATTTGTTGGAGGTCTCTCATCCAAACCCTGACCAGGGCTTACCCTGCTTAGCTTCCAAGATCTGATGAGATCAGGCTAACCTGGGCTATTCAGGTTAGATAAGACAGTTATTGAGCTGGACATTTGTAATGCAGTAGATAATGCAGTTATTGAGCTGGACATTTGTAATGCAGGTTCACCTTCTTGTTGATCTCCTTAACATTACTGTAACTACAAGTTTTAACTATGCAATACAGGGTGATTCTGCATCTGGTTTATAATCCACTCTCTCTCTGCTGTGGAGAGAGGTGGGGCGAAGGAGGGGACATCAAAGGAATCTACGTCAAGTAGTCTGCATATTGTTCATGAGGGATTGGTGGCGGGGAGGAGCAAATGGTCCAGCGCAAAACCATATCCAAATAACCCAGGGAGATGCCTTGGTGAGCGCAGAGTCACCACTAGATGGCAATAAAACAACGTGGAAGCTCAAAAGTGGACCGAAGCACAAGGAGACTGGGAGTGGCATGCAATGCAGAGTGAAATTTGAGTTCCGCCGTGGGTTTGGAGATACAACAGTGGGAAAGACGAGTGCAGAATCTCCCAGAGTTTTTCTGGTGGTGTCTCTGAATTGGACTGGTAGACTTGGTCTGGGAGCTCTATGCTTCCAAGGCATCAACAGTCCCAATTTGGATTGGGACTGCAATGCACAAAGAGGGGGGGGGCCTTATGCCTCCCTCCCCACGGCATTGTATTCCTTGGCAGAAACAGCCCCAGGAGTGCTATCTGCCCCATTAAGGAAACAGTGTCATTAGACAAATAATGACTGTCCAGTGCCATTTCAGCTCAGGAAAACAGCTAAGGGGTTGAAGACTTAAACCCCCTCTCATCATGTGCCATGGCCCCAATCCAAATCTGGTCCAAAACACATCTGCAAACCTGAGAATATACCTGAGGAAAGTGTATTGTGTACTTAGGTTTTTTAGGAAGATGACAATCCCTGTACCTCATTTAGTCTCCTAGTTACATTCATGGAGCCAGTTTCCTTTAATGGAGCCTCCACTCCAAGGTAGTGTTTGCGGAGCTCTGCTCTAAAATGTCCATCTTGTCCAGGCTATTCCTTGGTTGTTCTGAAGACAAATGGCACCCTTATTGAAGACCATGGACCTGTTAAGGTCTTCATGCTGTCATTGATTGGCTGTTGCCCCACTCAAGATCACACGGCAGTATAGTAGTAACCAGGGCTCTACTGGTAGCAGGAGCTCCTTTGCATAATAGGCCACACACTCCTAGTGTAGCCAATCCTCCAAGAGCTTACAGAGCTCTTCTTACTGGGGCTACTGTAAGCTCTTGGAGGATTGGCTACACTAGGAGTGTGTGGCCTAATATGCAAAGGAGCTCCTGATAGTAACAACAATGGGAAAAAGCTGTGAAGCAGGACACAATAGAACTAGTAACAATGTATTGGAAATGTGCGCAGTACATGAATATAATCCTTGCACAATAAAGCACAATGGTACTAAATATGAATCTTCTGATACAGGATGAAGTATTCCATAAAGTTCTCTTTCCAAAGCAGTTCTTTCCAACAAAGAATCCGGATATTGAAGACTTCATTTCGATAATCTTCCTCAAGAAAATTACTATTCTAAGTATTTCAAAGGCATCAAGTTCCAGAAAACTGTATAGTGTCAGACTACTAATGTAGAAGGAACTGCCTATCGTAAATGTTTCAAAGGCATAAGTTTCCAGAAAAGTGTATAGCTTCAGACTACTGATATAGAAGTGTATAGCTTCAGACTACTGATATGGGCCACCAGTAATACTTTTTAGAAGCCACTCTGTATTAATGCTGAGCTGGTCTAGCCTTTAAATTAAACATGGTCCTGGCCATGCTAAGCTTCATTTTTTATACTTCATCAGCTAATCCTCTTCGAGTTCTTCCTGCTAGATCACAACTTATTTTTCTTCAGATAGCTCTTCTGCTGCTGCAACCAACAACTTGTTCCTTAACTAAAGACCAATGTGAATGAATAGAGCAGATCTCTGGAGAAACAGAATGTACACAAATTCTAAATTAACTTCACTCACTGATCAATCACAACTAATTCATTTGGGTTCTGTATCTAAGGAAGTGTGCTTGCACAAGAAAGCTTATAACCAGAATTAAACTTCATTGGTCTTAAAGATGCCACTGGACTCGGACAGGGCTACCTACCTGAATCATTCAGGTTCAGTCTTCTGTAAAATGTAGAATGGGTTGACTAAAAAGGTCAGAGAGAGGGGCCTTACCTGAAGCAACTCCCCTACCTCAGCAGGTTATCCCTTCTAGAAGTGAAATTGCTCCACTTTTGCTTCACAGCTTTTCTAATTCCTATTTTTCAACATTACACTTTTTGTATAGAACCATTACTTATATCTCTTACATATTTTATAAACTAAGCATTTTAGGTTGTTTCTCCACATACACACTGTCAGCCTTTCTAAGACAGAGTGGACCGAATAAAGACTAATTTTGTCACTAACTGTTCCTTTTCGGTTTGCTGTGTATCTTGTCTGGACAATGCACCTGTAATATTTGGCTACCAGAAGGCGTTTCATTCACTAGCTACTAAGATGGCGTTGCCCTAACACTATTCCTAAATCTCCATTTGATGCATCTGTTACGACATAAAACCATGTCTCATAATAAAAAAAAATTCAGTTTGAGTAAGGAAATTAAACAAGTTTCCAGCTCCTCAAATGCTACCAAGAATTCCTGTGACCATTTAACTTGATACAGACTTTTTTGTTATACTTCCCACAGACACAAGTAATACTCTAAATGCTGCCCTTTCTCCCTTCTCAACATAGTTTCCTGACCCACATGAATCCCATGACACTGGGAATCAACTTTCCTGGGACTGGAAGGGAGTTCTGGGGATGAATTATGTGATTCCCTGTGCTAACAGATCAGCTAATCTGGCACACAGAATGTGCTAAATTAATTCAGTCTTAATAACTTGTCAGTGTAACAAAGTTAGAGTCCAGTGGCACCTTTAAGACCAACAAAGTTTTATTCAAGGTATGAGCTTTTGTGTGCACGCACACTTCCAAAGTGTATGTGCACAAGAAAGTTCATACCTTGAAGTGTGCGTGCACACGGAAGTTCATACCTTCAATAAAACTTTGTTGGTCGTAAAGGTGCCACTGGACTCTAACTTTGTTCTACTGCTTCAGACCAACACGGCTACCCCACCTGGATCTAGCTTGTCATTGTGACATCTCTCCTTGAACTTGAGAGGGGGAAACTAAAAAAATAACCAAGCCACAATAAGCTCCTTTAATAATGCCCACATTTGTAGGATTCTTCCCATTTTGGGGAGTATGCCATCTTTAAAAAAAAAAAAATTAGAACTTGCGCTAAGTTGGATCCAAGAGTGGAACTATTTGCAGAACAGATCTTCTATACATCTCCATCTTCTGCACCACTTGAAAATCTGCTCCTAAGAGTTGGGGGGAAGTGCCTTCTGCTTATACAAGCAGTGCTTTGGATCCAACCTGTTACCAGCTGACAGGTGTTGAAAGTTGACCTGTGAACCTTCTGTAGACTGTATTAAGGCAGATATTCAGGAGCTGAACAAGCCGAACAATTTAAAACAACTGTAGTCCAGGAGGAAAGGAACAGCTACATTTGAACCCTTGTAGAACCTTAAAAATCTAGCTCAGGGCTATTTTTGGGCAGGAACGCACAGGAACAGAGTTCCGGCTGGCTCCCAAGTTGGTCACGCCCAGCAGGAACTCATTAGCATAATAGGCCACACCCAACAGCAGAAACTCATTAGGATTGGCTACAATTAGAAACAAAAGGTGGGTGTGGCTGGATTCTGGTAACATGGGGGCATGGCCTAATATGCGGATAAGCTGTGCTGTCAGGGGTGTGGCCTAATATGCTAATGAGTTCCTGCTGTTGGGTATGGCCTATTATGCTAATGAGTTCCTGCTGGGCTTTTTCTACAAAAAGAGCCCTGATCTAGCTATCGTACTGCAGGCCAACACAGCTACCTTCTGATGAAACTGTCTTCATAGGAGGGAAAGAAGTAGATACGTTGTTAGACTGAACTGTACAACATTTGTATTGGAACTTCTGCAATATTACTGTTGAACCACATGATAATAGTAGAGCCCGTATTTTCAAAGAAGGGAATTTAAAAGATTATGCTTTAAAACAAATACACTTATGGCTTCTAAAGTTACACCAAGTCTTAATTCATTAATAACTGCGAAATCACAGATATACTTTCTTACAAATCAAGGCAAATCTTGCATTGCCAAATGAGAAAAGGATTTAGGATCAGAGTTCCTAGAGAGCTGCGGGCTTTTTGTTTTGTTTGTTTGTTATAAAAGATTAATGGAGCAGAGGTCCATCAGTGGCTATTAGCCACAAGGTATAGATAGGGACTCTGGGGCAAGTGATGCTCTGTCTTCTTGGTGCTTGGGGGGGTCAACAGTGGGAGGGCTTCTAATGTCCTGGCCCCACTGGTGGACCTCCTGATGGCACCTGGTATTTCTGGCCACTGTGCGATACAGAGTGTTGGACTGGATGGGCCTTTGGCCTGATCCAACATTGGCGTCTCTTATGTTCTTATGTTCTAATGGTTTTCAGTGTGTTAACACAACAGAACATCTATAAAAAAGGCCATTCAGCACTATCTTACTCCTTGCCAAACATCACTGCCCATCAATTTGATGCCAGATGATACTGATTTTGTCATAATTCCAAAGCATAGATGAATGGAGAGATACTTAAAAATTTGTTTCAGAATAATCAACATTAAAGGAATCCAAAAGTTTGGGGTAATCATCACTGAGGTGATACAAGAAATACTAGATGCACAACTTCATTTGCACTAAAGATGTTATCATTTAAATTCTGCAAAATACACAACAGCCGAAAGTTCGCAAGACTGCCCAACAGTTCAGTCAGTGATGAGATTCATAGGAGACCTCGCTGTCCTCACTCCAGTGTTTGCCTGTCCTTTTCTTCCTGTTCCTTTCCGCCATGACAATGGCAGCCACCACCGTAACAAAGACTGTGAATGTTATGACAAGAACTGTCACCGTCTCTGCAATGCACAGCTGGGCATCCACAGAGGACAGAGGAAGGTCTCTCAGGACCTGGGGCTCCAAGCACGTCACGTTCTGGTAGTCATCCAATATCAGCCTCCGGACGCTGTGCAGTTTTGCAAAAACCCTTTGAAGGTCACAGTCACAAAACCACGGATTGTCTGAGAGCAAGATGTGAGTTCCAGGAGTCTGGAGAGAAAGGAACGTCTTGAATCGAATATGTTCAATTTTATTATGGACCAAGTTCAGTATCGTGAGGCTGCTCAACGAAGCAAAGGCTCCTGGAGCAATGTGTCTGATCACGTTGCCCTCCAAGTTCAAAACCTCTAAGTGCTGCAGCATAGAAAATATCCCGCTGTGGAGGGTGTGAAGGTGGTTGTTCTGAAGATAAAGTTGACGCAGGCGGGTGAGGCTGCGAAAAGCACCTGTCTCTATAGAGGATATATTATTGTTTTGCAAGTTCAGCTTCTGAAGGTTTTCAAAATTCCTGAAGCTCTTGTAGTGCAGCTTCTGCAGCTTATTGGAGGCCAAACTGAGTTCGTGGAGAGAAATGAGTCCCAGCGAAAAACTGTTTCCGAGAAACGAAATATCATTTCCACAGATATCAAGTTTATGGAGTCTTTCTAGGGAAACGAATGCTCTCTCCTCAATTCGGCTGATGTAATTGTCTCTCAGAAGGAGAACCTGCAACTTCCAGAGTGCCCTGAGGCCTCTACTTGGGATGGAATATAAGTTACTGTTTGACAGGTCCAAGTGTTCTGTCTCAGGGGGAAAAGTTAGGTCCGCGCTAATACTGATTCCAGAGCAGTTCACAAACAGAGCCCCCTCTTTGCAAAAGCAGATTTTCTGGCAAAGATGATGAGTTCCAGAGTCAGCAAGGGATAGAGGAATCCAAAACCAGATTAAATAATGGAAATGCATCTTCTGCCTTCTTCTGTACGCTTTCTATTCCTGCCAGACAACATAAATAACAATGGTTTTTAGGAAAACATTGCAAAATATTTGATGTTTAATAGGAAGAAAAGCAAACCACTCTTTCAAGTTTGTCTATGATCAGGAGATAATGAACCATACCAAAGAGCTTGAAAAAAAAGAGTTTGTGTAATCAGGGGTCATTTTGTAGAAAAAGAGGTGCAGGAGCTCATTAGCATAACTTATTAGCATAACCTATTTACATATGCCACCCCCCTGATATCACCGGACGTGTGTCAGAAGGCAACACCCACTGCTCAGGCTCCACTGGACTGTTTTGGATTGCTAGCTATTGGGGGGGGGCGTGCAAATCTGTCCTCGCAGAGGAGGGAGAGCTTGTACCTGAATAAAACTTGGTCTTAAAGGTGCCACTGGACTGTTTTGGACTGGGGAGCTGGGGGGGGGTGCTCTGCAACTTACCTGGCTGCTTCTTGCTCTGACTGAGGGCTGCTGGGAGCAGGGGGTGGGGCTTGTTGCATGTGCCCGCCCCCGGGGGTGGGGCTTGTTGCCTGTGCCCGCCCCCTGGGCTCTTTACTGCCGGAGCTCCGCTCCTGTGCGCTCCTGCAGGAAATGACCCCTGTGTGTAATGCCATAAGCAATTAAGTTCATCCATCCACAGTGTGTTTGTGTTTCTTGACTGTGAAAGTCCTCTTATGTGCACCACACCAGCTGTCTCTCTATGAGACTCTTGCATGCCCCACACACTTTTTGGCTAACAGGCTTCTGTTCTGCCTGTCTGGGTTACTAGTGCAGTAAAATGTTCTTACCCATTGCCTTATAGGACATGTAAATGTTACTGCGTTCTGCCTGGCTTTGTGTGTCTGGGTTACTAATGCAGTAAAATGTTCTTACCCTATTGCCTTATAGGACATGTAAATGTTACTGTTCTGTTTCAGAAAACGCAAACTTTTAATTGCACTTGGATTTTCATTCCCACTCAGGTCCTTTCCTCATAGAACCAGCTGCACCAAAACTTGGGATCTGTACATGCATCATGATGGGGGAGGGCGATTTGCCATCAAGTCAAAGGCAAGTTACAGCAGCTCTGCAGGGTGTTCAGGGCAAGAGACATTCAGAGGTGGTTTGCCTTTGCCTGCCTCTCCCATCCAAGTCTTAATCGGGACCAACCCAGCTTAGCTTCTGAGATCTGACAAGAGACGCATAACCTGGGCTATCTGTAGGCTTCAGAAGTCACACTATATAGGCATATGGGCTCTTGCGAAGTTCCTGAATCTATGTGTATGTTTTATCTCATGTCACTATTTTGTGTGTCTGATTTAGATTTTTATCTACACAACTATTTACATATTCTGTTTTACAAAACTGAATGGTGCAGTTTGCAAAGCAATGGCAAATTGGCTGAGTCGAGTCATGCATTCACACCTACTGTCTCAAACAGACTGTAATCTGGGAGAACCGGGTTTGATTCCCCACTCCTCCACTTGCAGCTGCTGGATGACCTTGGGCAAGCCGTAGTGCTGTCAGAGTTGTTCTCTCAAAGCCAGTTCTCTCAGAGCTCTCCCAGCCCCACCCACCTCACAGGGTGTCTGTTGTGGGGAGGGGAAGGGAAAGGAGTTTGTAAGCCACTCTGAGACTCCAAGTGAAGGGTGGGGTATAAATCCAATCTCCTCCTCCTCCTCCTCCTAGACTGTGCAGGGCCACTTTTGGGATTGCAGCTGGATGACAGCTGTGTGCAGGAGCTATTTGTATGTTTGGAAGAAATGGACTGTAATGCCTTAGTATTACCCCACACTCACACACCAGGCCTTCAGAGTGGGCAACAGAGCTAAAAAGATAGGTCAGGGCTCTGTATCCTTTCCTGTTGTCTGTTTTGCTGCTATCCCTTTGTTTACCTAGATCGCTGTTCTCAGGGAACTTCACCCCCTCCTTTATTTGTTTATTTGATTTATCAACCGTCCTCCCCTGGAAACCGGACTCAGGGCGGTGTACAACATGGTCATAAGACACCACATAAAACAAGATTCAAATTAATAGAGGTAGGTGGGGTTGAGAGAGCTCTTGAGAGAACAGCTCTGAGAGAACTATGACTGACCCTAGGTCACCCAGCTGGCTGCATGTGGAAAAGTGGGGAATCAAACCCAGTTCTCTGACACTCTCTCAGCCCCACCTACCCCACAGGGAAAGGAGATTGTAAGCGGCTCTGAGACTCCTTTCGGTAGTGAAGGGCGGGGTATAAATCCAATCTCTTCTCTTCTCCCAGATTAGAGTCCACGCTCCTAACCACTACACCTAAAGGAAGTTTGGCCTCATAATCACTTTGATTTACAAGGATTGACAGTTGGGTACCCTAAGCAACAGATATGCTCAGAGGTCATGCAGCATAAAAGTTGCCCAGCAGAGACTCAATCAACTAAAAAAAGAGGGCTGCTTACCCACACTTCAGGTTCATATGGTTTTCCAGAGTACCACACAGAAGGAGGGACCAAAGTCCAACCTCCCCTCAAATGCAGAATTCAGAGGCTTACATGACACTATGAAAAGACCAATAATGTTATGGGAGTAACACATGAACTCCAGACTACAGTGTTCCACAGCAGAGGACAGAGCTACTTTTGTGATAAACACATCCCATTGTTCAGATGTGTCCTGTATTTTTAATCCCCTAATTGTTGAATCTTTCTTGCTAGAGTTGCAATGGCTGGAGAGTGGTCTTTTTTAAGTACTTTACCAGCAGCGCACAAAAACATCATAAGAGTAAGTAAAGGTAAGGTTCCCTTGCTCGAAAGCCAGTCAAATCTGACTCTAGGGTTGCGGTGATCATCTCCGTTTCAAAGCCGAAGAGCCAGCGCTGTCCGAAGACGTTTTCGTGGTCATGTGGCCGGCATGAGTAAACACCAAGGCGCATGGAACGCTGTTACCTTCCCACCGAAGTGGTACCTATTTGTTGTTGTTCAGTCGCACAGTCGAGTCCGACTCTTCACGACCCCATGGACCAGATCACGCCAGGTCTTCCGGTCTTCTGCCATCCTCTGAAGTTTGCTCTTATCTACTTGCAATTTCTTGCTTTCGAACTGCTAGGTTGGCGGGAGCTGGAACTAGAGACGGGAGCTCACGTCGTCATGCGGCAACTCTGGTCTTGAACTGCTGAACTACTGACCTTCCACAGCCTGCAGTTCAGCGTCTTAACCACTTGAGCCACCGCAGCTGCTATCATAAGAGTAGTGTTCCCTCTAAGCTGAGTTAGTGTGGGCTAGCTCACAGTTTTTTAGCCCCCGGCTCACACATTTTCATCTTAGCTCAGGAAGGGTTGGCTCCAGAGCAAGCCAATTTATGCAGCAGCCAAATCGCTTGCTCACAACTTTAATGCCAGTAGCTCACAAAGTAGAAATTTTGCTCACAAGGCTCCACAGCTTAGAGGGAGCATTGCGGCTGTAACTATAACAAACGGTCATGTGAATGGCAAACATTTAGAGGAAATTTTCTGGAGTTGTGTCTCAGAACCAGGCCTCCCAATTCTTTGCAGATTCAGCAAACTCACATCCACCACCTGCGTACAGTTTAGTTAACCTTTTCTTTCATTACCTGGGGGGTGGGGGAAGGCACATCACTTACCCTGTAAGACTGGGAAGCTGGCACATTAATAAAGAATTAGCATAAATAAATTATTTTTCTCTCTAAGGCCTGCATTGTAACGAGTGCTTATTGATACAGTGTGAGAAACAAGACGTCAAGCTGCCACCTCATTTAATCCAAAACCCGCACCACAATCTATGAATGAACTAAGTAACCCATCTCTTCACAGGAGCATAGTATTAAGGGGAAATGTTCCTAGTTTTAAAAAAAAAAGGCACATTTCTAACCCCTGCACTGACAGATAAACAACATTATTCAAATCATGGATAGTCAAAGGAGGCCATCTTTCTAATCTTGCTAATTACGCGTTAGCATCCTTATCTGAACATAAATGTTCCTAGTTTAAAAAAACAGGCACATTTCTAACCCCTGCACTGGCAGATAAACAACATTACTCAAATAATGGATAATCAAAGGAGGCCATCTTTCTAATCTTGCTAATTACACGTTAGCATCCTTATCTGAATATTTGTTAGACTCTCATCTGAAGTAGAAGAGGTCTAAAAGTGCAGCTCCTCGTTTCTGATGTTCACAGTTGTGATGAGCATTTCCTAGACGTTCTGTATCACTATAAACATGATTAAAATTGTTATATTAATATTTAAAAAATGTTCCAATTAGGCACGAATCTAGACTGGCTCAGCATTATAGTTGATCATGTCAAGTTGCAGAGTACTTCAAGAAAAAACTGCAGTTATTTAACACTTAAAAAAAAACAACTCTATTGACTAGTGTCTGGTGAGATGAAAAAAGCAATGCCATTATTTCAGATAACTAAACATCTGTTGATACCCAAATCTTCCGGTAATGTCTCTAGTTTTTCAGGTCTCCATTGGTGTCATGTATCTTTACAGGTATGCATGCGCGTGCACACACACGCAAAATAACATTTCACATGTCGAAGAAGGAAACATCCACGACATTCTGTCACTACAACTGCAGGATCCAAGTTTCAGAAATGTTTTTAGGCAATGCCTTAACTTCTTCAGAAGTAAACCGGTTTGCATCCTAAAGGAATACTACTTTTTTTTTAATTAAACCACCCTGGCCTTTCATTAAATTTAACTCCAGCGTCAGCGACCAAAGCTTCCTTACCTCTGTTGCAAACAGGTCGCTTCCCCCAGTGAGTTCTCCTCAGGTGTCTTTCAAACACACACGTCGGCCAGTGGAAAAATCCAGAGGTGAAGGGATGACAGTCATTGTGTTGAGAAAGACTGGCTGAAATGTGTGTCTGAAGAAGCGCCTGGAAAGCAGGATGTTGGGGAGCTAGAGAAGAAAGGGTTAATAATTTAGACAGCTACACAAAGGGATGGGGGGGTTGAATAGCTGCAATTCTATCAAAAGCACACAGATCATATTAATAAACTGGATTCCACTGGACGTTCCTAGATGCGTTCAGACATCAGTTTAGGTGAGAGACAAAGGAAAGTTTGTTTCCCCTTTGGGAAAAAACTTCCAAAACTCTTTGTTCACGGTAGTGCAATGCCCCTGAAGAGGTTTCAAAATACCACAGCTCTTTCAACCTGAGTTCTCAGAGTGCCAATAAACACATACATAACACAAGTAACTACCTGAAGTTTTTCTTCCAAAAGAAAATCCTTTTTTCTGTCCGGGTTCTGGAGGAGGACCACGTATACAGTTTTTATTTCTTCTCCCTGCATTCCCCTTCTCACCAGCTGTGCAGGAATGTTGCACATGTGTTTGTGTATAAAGTGATCACATCCTTGACCATGTGCTGAAGTTTTCCACTTGCATGTTAAGCTGCCTGGATCTCAGCCCCTGAACTAGATTTCACAATAACATTAGGGGGTTGAGGGCAGTGTTCCCTCTAAGCTAAGTTAGTGTGAGCTAGCTCAGTTTTTTAGCCTCCGGCTCACACATTTTTGTCTTTGCTCAGGAAGGATGGCTCCAGAGTAAACTAATTTATGCAAGTAGCCAAATCACTTGTTCACAACTTTAATGCCAGTAGCTCACAAAGTAGAATATTTGCTCACAAGACTCCACAGCTTAGAGGGAGCATTGGTTGAGGGTGAGTCTCTAGATTTCCTCACAGTTGTGGAACGCCATTTACAAGCTGGTTGGTGGACAAAGGTTTGCACAATAAATTATAAATAAATAAATAATAACCTGACGAATAGACAGTAAAAGTTCTGCCGGCAAGAACTGCTGGGCTTCTAACAAGACTTTCTTCCGCCAGTGAAGGGCCAAGGGGCTGCAACCAAAAAAAAAAGTCCCCACTTGTTGAATACTAATCCTTGTTGCCTTGTTCCCAGCAGTTGTCTTATCTCTTCACAGATGGTGCTAGAAGCCAGAATGTCCCGTTCTCCTATTTCTGAATTCAAACTCATTTCGTACGGTTTGCTTCAAAAGACAGAAATAATGCCAGACTAATTTAATGCTGCTCGGGTGTAACACAATCCCAACTGTCCTCATTTCTAAAATGCCTCATATTCATTTCAGACAGGTTAATGGCGAGCTAAAATCATTATCCCTTGCAAAACACTCCCATCATGAGGACGTTTCGTTGCCTGAAATTAGTTCTCTTTAAAGTCTACTATTAAACTCACCCTCTGTAATTAAGCAACTCCAGGCTTCGCATTAACACCTTTTCTCCATCAAACGCAAAACCATATATGATGTATATCTATTTCCTTCATCGTGGCGGAGGGTGGGTCCCATTAAGTCACCATTTTTGAAATTGTGTTCCTAAATAGACATTTGCAGCCCTCTTTTGAGTCACAGAGTTATCTTTGTTTGCAGCACTCCCCACCCCCACCCCTGGAAAGTTATCGCCAGCTTACACTTTTACCTGTCCTTCATCGATTACCATTGTGTTGCTACCTGCTTCTAACTCTTCAGAGCCAAGAAAGCCTCCATCTGCAGATGCCCTGCCTGAAAGGGTGTTGTGCAACTTTATGCAAAATAGCTACCACCACCAACACACTAGAAGGCTTCCAAAACAGTCAGCCATGATCTATAGTATGTGCACCTGCAGTCCCTGGGGGAAAGGACCAGAGAGGGACTATCAGCCATTGCCACACACTCTGAGACTTTTTTTATCCAGACAATGCCATCTCACAATGGCTGTGATCTCAGGACCCGTTTGCAATCTGAGCCTTAAACACCGCTGCCTACCTTGAACTCTAGTGATCCATCGTACAGGGTTACAGGGTTACAAAGCATCAGTGGAAACCGTGCTGGACATGAAGCATGACCATCTTCTTCGTCATCATGTGTTACTGACCTCAAGTCTTTTTGAACAAAGAAGTTACTGAAACATTTACATACGGAGACAGTAAAAGAATACTTTAACACGCCAACTGAAAATCACAAAGCGATGCGCAAGCTTTGAAGTTCACCAGAATGCTACTTCAGGCTGGATTAGCTAAGCAATGAAGAGAGGGGCAAGACTGGCAAAGGAAAAGACTAACAGGTCTTGTGGCACGATAACAGCTACTGTCAAGTCTTAAGATGAAAGCAGAACTACGAAGACTCGCTTGGTGCAAAAATCAGTTACAGCCAGGGCTATTTTTGGGCAGGAACGCACAGGAACGGAGTTCCGGCTGGTTCCTGAGTTGGCCACGCCCAGCAGGAACTCATTAGCATAATAGGGCACACCTAACAGCAGAAACTCTTTAGGATTGGCTACATTTGGGGTGTGTGGTCTAGCATGCAAAGGGTTCCTGCTACAAAAAAAGCCCTGGGTTTTGACAACAAACAAGGTAAACAGAATAAGAAGCAAAAGGTGGGTGTGGCTGGATGACAACACTCCCAGTGACATGGGGGTGTGGCCTACTATGCTAATGTGCTGTGCTGTCAGGATCTGGCCTACTATGCTAATGAGTTCCTGCTGTTGGGTGTGGCCTGTTATGCTAATGAGTTCCTGCTGGGCTTTTTCTACAAAAAAAGCCCTGGTTACAGCAAAGAATACTGGCAGAACAAAAGGAAGGGGAAGCCTCCTATTGAAAATGGAACAGCCAGGAGTTACTAACATAGAATAGTTGATTGTATCAAACTGGAACAGCCATGGCTTCTTTGTCCAGCCATGAAGCCAGACTGGAATTTCAATCATGGCTAAACAACACTTTTCCCTTTTCTCTCTTCTTTTTGTTCTAAGGGAGCATATTATGTGCCTCTTGTCTGCTTTGGACAAAAATGCAGATGTTCTTCAGAGGTTTGTCAATAGAAACAGGAAAGAGATTAGCCAGTGTCCTTGCGGACTTGTCATCCTCCTATACACAGACAAGCGACAGGGCTTTCATGAAAACTGGCTGCTAAAACAATGGTTAAGTTCTAAATCTTTCGGGGCACATCTAAATTGATGCACAGAGACCATGAAGACGATAATTGTGTTAAACACTCAAAAAAATAACTTTTCTACTCCCAGTCAGGAAACCAGTGCACCCTTAAGAATGTTCTTCCCTCTTTGCGTGTTTTGCTTCCCACTTTGAGAATGTTGGCTACAGGTGGGCTGATAACACTGTTCTTGGGGCACGGGGTTTTGGTTCCTAATCTGAAAATTGATAGGGCCTTGATTGTTGATACCTTTGTCTGTGTCTTGGGAAGTACCTGTGCTTATAAGATGGAGCTGAACTGAGTGTAATGCCAAACAATTTTGCTGTTAGTTTGTTCTTTCTGATCCAGTCTGTGAGCCAAAGCACCCTGATTTCCTCCCAAGGGTTAATGTGAATACTAGTGGGCCTACTTCATCCTGCAGGTATCATTACTGGGCCTCCCTGCTTACACCCCCATCCTTATCTCTTTCAAGGCCAGATTCAAGAAAGTAGTCATTGGATAATCTTGGGAACCTGTGGTCAACTTTGTAGCCAGATAGGAGGGGGAAGACAGGAGCAGTGTCATTGTCTTCTAGAGGGTTCCAGCAAGCAAACACCCTGATTGGATATGAAGGTCCACCTGACACCAGATGGCAAAAGACTCTAAGCCACAGGCATGAGGAAAGCCTTGCTAACTTTGGGATACAACAGGACAGTGGCTATGACTATGAGGCTCCACTGCAATGGATAGCTACATAGAAAACGCTTGAGCCTATTGCTTGGACTTTGATGGTTAAAGGGTGTGCCATCTAATACCGGGTATTGAAGTATCAGCTAGAAAAGTTAGCTTTGTTATTTTCTTCCTGCAGGACTGTAGAGATTGTGTTGTCTAAAAATGTATTATTCTTTAAAACATTTAATAAACCTTCATATATTTTACCAAGGTCTGGTTTCTTGTGTACACGCAGCCTTGAAAAAACAAAGTTGCACTTATATGTAACTGCTATTCATCGAATATCTTCTGTGCAGGTGCTTGCGGGGAGGGTGGTATATAAATCAAATAAATAAATAGAAATAACAAATGAGCAGGCCTGCCATCGAATAGGTCTTCACAGCTAAATGCCTCCAGGGGGCACTGCGTGCCAGAGTCAGAGGCTTGTTCCTGCCCAGGGACCATGTGCTCTTGAGCAGCAACACCCCCCACCCTCAGTACCTCTAATGCCATGAAAGCCAGAGCATGCAGTGGGGCAGGAGGGAGGGTATGTGTGCCTGCACAGAAGATACACTGTTTGGGGGAAGGTAAGGGACCCATCTGCCTCAATTTCACCTCACCCCGCTGGAAAGTTGAGGGGGGGGGGGAGGCTGGTGAATTAAATCATTATATTGACTTTATTGGCCAGTGCCCCCTAAGGAATTTAAATGCCCCCCGGCTTAAAAATTCCTGGCTATGAGGCTAAGTACAAGGCTGAAGGAGTTTTGTTTGTTTAGCTAAATTTGTGTTTCTTCTCCGCAAGCAGCAAAACAGCAACTTACATAATGAAAATAATACAGGAACAGACACAACCAACATAGTACTGCATAAAATTTTTACCAGTCTTTTAATAACTGTTCACGAATTCTTCAGTAAAAAGAACATTGACAGTTATACGGCTATACTAGCTTGTCGTAGCCAGCATTAGTTATTTTCAAATAAAATAGTGAAGCACTGTTTTCAATCAGAACAGTCACTACCCCCCCCGAAGTATAAAAAACATTATAGAAAACATTTGTACAAAACTCTGATGCAAAACTATTGCACAGATATTCAGAGCATTTTATTCAACCGAGCACGCAGGTGTGCTGCTTGTGCAAGGCGGATGTTCGTTGGCGGAGAAAGGAATAGCCTCCAGTGGCTGCAGTTTCCAGGAAGACCCAGGACGAGTTCTGGTCACCTTTAAGGCTTCTCTGGTTCTGGAGATTGTCCCAAAAGGATACAAATTCAAGTTAATATCATCATCTAATAGTTTAAGGACATAGCATATACCGTGTTTCCCCGAAAGTAAGACATCCCCCGAAAATAAGACCTACTTACAGTTTTGCCTCTCACTGAAATATAAGGCATCCCCCAAAAATAAGACCTCCCCGATAATAAGGCCCCCCCGGAGCAGACAGGAAGTGCGAGGCCTCTTTTAATCAGAGAGCCCGCGCTGCCGCCAGGACAAGCTGCCGCCTGCTGCTCGCTCTGCCCTGACAGAGTGTACCGTATTCTTCTTAATAAGACATCCCCTGAAAATAAGACCTAGTGCATCTTTGGGAGCAAAAATTAATATAAGACACTGTCTTATTTTCGGGGAAACACGGTGTTTAATGCAGGATGGATAAAAGTTGTTGAGTTGAACAAAATTTAAATGTCATATTCTACCCAGATTTTTAAAATTTTTAAAGTAGATTTTTAATTTTTTTAAAATATCAGGTCCGTTATATCTTTTTTAGTACCAAGTTACAACATATAAGCATGTTAAGCATGTTAAGACAGTTAGCATGTAATATAAGCATGTTAGCATGTAATATAAGCATGCTAAGACAGTTAGAAAGAAACCTTATCAAGCTTTATAGTACAAGAGTGAAAAAATATTTTTGATTGTAGTATCTCTGGTCAGCACCTGCCTTACCTCTTCCGGTAGGGGCACAGACAGCAAGTTTTGATTAGATCTTAACAGGTGGACTCGACATTATGGGAGGAAGCAGTCCTCCTTCCAGTACCCTGGTCCCAAGCTGCTTAGGGTCTTAATAGTAATAGGGAGCATTTTGAATTATGCCCAAGAACAAACGGGCTCCCAGCACAGCTTTTCCAGCATCGGAGTGACGTGATTCCTGTAGCCCAGCCCTGACAATATCCTGGCTGCTGCATGATAGACCAACTGACGTTTCTGAACAGTTTTCAACAGCAGTTCCACCTAAAGCACATTACAGTAATCCAACCCAAATGTGGTCAAACCATGGAGTGCTGGAGCCCAAGTCATGCTTCTGAATCGCAGCAAGTAAAGAGGTCCAATTTAAATTAGAGATCTAAATCAAGATTCCTGTTTTGCAAATCGTACTCAGCATGGGTTGATTTACATCATTCCACTCTGAGGGAGTGTTACATATGTTGTCTGCTGGTGCTTTCAATACGCTGGCTTGTGAATAAATGCAGTCCAGTTCAATAAAAAGTTAGGAAGCTGGAAATAAAATGCAAACAATAGGAGGGTTTTGATTCTTTTTTCCCCCCTAACCTCTACAGATTATATTAAAAGATCTGATTCGCAGAACATTCAATTTAAGCACATTCGCAATGCAATCCTAAAGAGACTGACACCCTTTCCGAGTCTTTTGGAGTCAATGGGTCGGGAAGAGCATCATTCTGCTTAGGATTGCACTGTTGATGTTATAAAAACTCTCATTTATACATTATTACAGGCAATCTCAATTAATTTCTTTGATGACCCATAAACAGACAATGGAAAGAAATTCAGAGACTGTGCGGGAACAGGCTTTACGTCAGTACAGGAGTGTGAGTCACGAGTTGAGACAAAAAACCCAAACCAAGCTGCAGAATGCATGTATGTTACCTGGCATGATCATGCCTAGTCTTTGAAGAATGGCCTCCAAATAAGTAATGTATTCAGCTGATTGTTCAGGATCCTTAGATGACGCCTGAGAGGAAGAGCTAGTGAACATGGATGATCTAAAAATAAGAACATTAACAAGATTCCAATGTTCAAATAAGCACAATTCGCCAGGAACACTGAACAGGCACAAAAAGAACAATATTTAGGCATAAAAAGAACATTTTAAGATACTGCTATGATCTAAACTATGGCTTCCGAAACTGAGCAAATGCCCAATTTACAGCATATGAGATGCAATCAGTAATACGAGTTTCATACTTGTTCACTAAATTTCATTCTCCTTTCACAGAAAATGACTGCTTGGCTTTTCTTCCGCCACACCCCCTCCCAAACCAGAGAGAGGATTAATAGTTGCTCTTCTCCTCTCTAAAGTTAGTAGCCTTCTATCCGACCAGGCAGTTTCAAAGACTTAAGGCCTTTTTAGTTTAGAATGAAGATGACTAAAAAGGGGAACATCTTTTAAAACTGCTCGTGGTGTGGGCAAACGAGAGAATTTTTCTTCTTCCTTTACCGTAACACTCGTTCTGTGCAATGAAACTGATTGACAGTAGATTCTGAACAGGCCGAAGTGCTTCTTCACTCAACGCATACAACTTACAGACTTTAGCACGGCAGCATATGGAGAGAGCCAGTACCGTTAAAAAGAATCAGACAGTTTCACAGGGAATAGGTCTTATCAGTAGCTACTAGCCTTGATGGCTCAATGGAACTGTTCAGTTCACAGGTGACGCATCACTGAATACCAGCTGTGAAGGGGGGAGGACAAGGAATGGCAGGGGAAGGCATTTATTCCCTGCTCGTACAGAGAACAGCTGGTTGAGCTAATCTTCTGATGCTAAAAGACCATTCAAAATGTAAACATGTGTTGTATTTAGAGAATCACTTAGGCAGACGTATTGCTTTAGGAAAACTGTGCAGAAGAAAGAGATAGATAGGACAAAACCTCTACTAACCGGGCATTCACGTGAGGTGGTGATTTCAGCAAAATGCTCCCAGGTCTCACGATGATGTTTCTGTTGCCGCATCCAGTTTCGCGAGTTGTAGGAGATGATGTATCAACAGCCGAGAAAGGTTGTGGTTGCTTGATTACTTCTATTTTACCTCTGGGATCTGGATTGAACAAATGGTATATTGGTTTTGTTCGCTTGTTTATATCTGCATTCTACCTGAGAGGTTTGACAGATATGTGCAAAAGCAGATTAAGAAAAACGCCAAAAATGTGGTCAATAGCTGAGAGTTCTGTTATGTAGGGAATGATATGTATGTTTAAAAATGAATAAAACAGAGTAAAACAGTGTTTAATATATGGGCTGATATTCATGCCATAAAACCTGTAACAGAAATACATGGCAATTCAACAGCCTATTAGCTCCAAATAGTTACAAGCAGGGGTCATTTCTTGCAGGAACGCACAGGAGCGGAGCTACGGCAGTAAAGAGCCCAGGGGGCGGGCACATGCAACAAGCCCCACCCCCTGCTCCCCGCAGCCCTCAGTCAGAGCAAGAAGCAGCCAGGTAAGTTGCAGAGCCCCCCCCCCTGGCCCCCCGGTCCAGAACAGTCCAGTGGCACCTTTAAGACCAAGTTTTATTCAGGTACAAGCTCTCCCTCCTCTGCTAGGGCAGATCTGCACGTGTCCCCCCACCCCCCAATAGCTAGCAATCCAAAACAGTCCAGTGGAGCCTGAGCGTTGGGTGTTGCCTTCTGACACACTTCCGGCGATATCCGGGTGTGTGGCATAGGCAAATAAGTTATGCTAATGAGCTCCTGCACTTCCTTTTCTACAAAATGACCCCTGGACTTACAAGGAAACATGGTTGCACTTACCTGTAAGTGCTATTTGTCAAGTTATCTTCTGTACAGGCACACATTGGGGACTGCCCTTGTGCAGGCCTGCCAATGGAGAGAAATGTCTAGCTTCTAAGGGTAGGAAGGGCACCCCCTCCACTCCACAAATCCCCAGAGCATGCCGGAGCACAGAGAAACACTATTTTCCCTCGGTCCTTCCACACGTCCGAGCACCCCTGTGGTGAAGCCAGCCAGAGAGAGAGAGAGCTCCCAGTGGGGTAGGAGGGAGGGAATGTGTGTCTGCACAGAAGACAACTTGGCAAACAGCAGTTACAGGTACGTGCCAACCCTGTTTTCATCTTTGGTCTTCTCGTGCAGTCCCACACTCGGGAGAGGTACCAAGCTACTCATCAGGAGGTGGGAGAAGAGCTCTAGGAAAATGAGGAGTGCAGGACCGCTCAGCCTACTGCCTCGTCCCATCTTGCCTCTGCGTCGACTGCATGATGCTGAATAGAGGTGGTCCTCCAACGACCAAGCGGCTGCTCTGCAGACCTCGTGCAGTGGAAGAGCTCTACGAAAAGCTGTGGAAGAGTGGGCCTGGAGAGCCAGTGCTAGCATGGTCATAGCAGAGTTTGATGGCTTGAACAATCCGTTTGAACAAGGTTTGTTTAGCGTCTGCAAGTGCTCTAAGACCCAGAATGAACGAGGAATGGCACTTTCAAATGGACCGTGTGCGCTGAAGGTAATACAATAAAGTCCTTTTGACATCTAGCCCACGTAGAGCCTTTTCTGCTGGGGAAATAGGGGTTGAGGGAAATGCGAGTAGGGAGACAGGCTGTGACATATGTAAAGAAGATAGGAAGGAACTCTGAAGCTCGGTCAAAGCAAAGGAGGATCTTCCCTGAGCACAGCCAATTCTCCTACCCTCCTAGCAGAAGCCACTGCAACTAAAAAGCACACTTTAAGGGAGTGGAGGGGCAGGAAGCAACTGGACAGAGGCTCGAAAGGGGCTAGCATCAGCTAGGAAAGAACTAGGGAGAGGGACCACTGGGGCACTACACGAGGTCTTGGTGGGCAAACATTACAGACGCCCTTCAGGAATTGCTTGGACATGCGATGGGAGAAGACCAAGACTCCATCCACAAACTTGCGGAAGGTCGAAATGGCCACTAGGTGCACCTTAACTGAGGGAGGGGGCAAGGCCTCCGTTCTTAAGGGATAGTAGGTACTCTGAAACTAAGGGTAAGGGGCTAGAAGAGGGATTAAACTCTTGCTCATAATCCAACCTGCAAATCTACCCCACTCCCTAGTGTAGGAGTTGCGGGTGGAGAGTTTCCTAGAGTGAAGCAGGACCTCTAATATTCCTTGAGAAAAACCTAAGTTGGGGGGGGGCATTTCAGGAGCCAGTCCGTCAAGCAGAGCTTGGCCACATCCTGATGCAACTGGGGGCTGTGTGACAAGAGAAGATCAGGCAGGGAACCCAGGCATGCAAACATGTCTCCTTCCTTGCGGAGAAAATCGGGGAAGTGGGTGGGGCATGTTTAAATGCCTTTCTTTCCCTTCCCCAGATTGGGGAGAGAAGGAAAGTAATTTTAAACACGCATGGGTTCCCTTCCTAATCTTCTCCAGCATGGCTCTTCTTGCATTCTTATGACTGCTTTCAGTACCCTGCTTTCTGCACCAGCATCCAGATGAACAGAATGTCTTTCCAGATTTCAGTGGCTAATGTCTTCTTGTTTTCTTAGTAATTAGACATTTTGACTATATGCTGTATAATAAAATCTCATACCATTTATCTAGGAGTACAGAGGTAACAGAAACAAGTATATATCTTATGAATTCACTACTTAATCTTGTTCTCACATGCCTAAAGAAGAATTACCAAATACATCCCCAGAATTATACAAGCATAAGAAATCCTTACATGAGTTATGTCCAGTCCTATGCGAAAGGGTTTCTGATGGCGTCTCTTTTCTACTTACTTTATGCCATTTTTTCACCAGAAACTTTAACCTGGCGGGGAGAAGAGAGAGTTAACTTAATATGCAACATAGTTTAGATATCCACCATGAGCATTTTTGAGAAAGGCAGATTATAAATGCTGTAAAATAAATAGCACAAATTGCTGCAGAGAATTGAGCATCTAATGTGTTTTCAGAAGTGCAGCCCAAAATTTTTATGTCCCATAATCATATAGCCACCACGTCCCTTTGAGAAAGAATGGAATAATAAAGCAAAACAAATATAGATTGGAGCTTCATTGAACATTTCAACTCTATTGGTTCAATAGAATTTATAGATTTTTTTAAATCTTTCCTTAAAAAACAGAGAGATCAATAATTACTGTAATATTTAACAGAAAAGAATTGGTTGATAATGATATAGTACTAAGGGCAGTTTACCTTGATATTGCAATGATCACTCTAACAACAGATCTGAACTTCGTAAAAGAACGGCTCCGTGATTCAGAGAAGTTAAGATCTGGAGGGGATGGATAGATGCCCATACGAGCTATCAGGGACAAAGTTGCTTGCTCACATTCTTGAAATCCACCCAGAAGCAGCAGAAGGTATTTTTTCTGATAAATGAGAGCTTTCCTAAAGCTTTCAGCTCGCAAATACTTCCTATATAACTTCTGAAGCTGAAACAGCCAAACCAAAAAATAAATTTAAACAAATCATTAAAACTAGTTACAAAGACAATTTACTGAAACATTTTGTCAATATACAGCTTGTTAGCAGTTTATGGAAGGGATGCTTTTGTTTTTTTTTGGGGGGGGGGTTGGCATTAAAAAACTACATGTGGAGTAGGGGGGGAAGCATTGCGGGAAGCCACTGGAGGGAGGGGAGGAAATGGGAATGGGGAAGACAATGGAAAGGATGAAATGGTTTAATTCTAAAGGTTGATTTCTAAGAAAAAAAAATTTGGTTTACAAAAAAAAAAAAAAAAATATTTTTTTCCCTGTTTTCCTCCTCTAAAAACTAGGTGCGTCTTATGGTCAGGTGCGTCTTATGGTCCGAAAAATACGGTAACTACCACCCCTTTTTCACAAATCCAAAACAGGAAGGCCTTCCAGATTTTTACATCTCATATGATCAACAGAAAACTAACTTTACGCTTTCGAAGGGTAATGACCTTGATTAATTGGCCATTACACGAGCCCCAGACTCCTCATTCCCCTTGGCTTGGAAAGGCTCCATTTGAGATACAAGAAAGATCGATGGAGGGATCCGCATCTCTATCAACCACATTCAAAGTAAATAAGGAGCCATAAAGACAGCCTGCCATTAATTAAAAAGCAATTAAAAAACTTTTGCTGACGTTTGTGGGATACTGTGTTGGTGTAGCAAGATGCATGTTCACAGCACTATTCAATGCCCAGTATTTAAATGCTCCCTAGTCCTAAGGTACTTACTACTTGCCCAGGAAATTCCACAGTACCGCATTGGAAGAACTCAGAGCAGGAAGCTCTTTGTAAATGAACCTTAAATCATTTCAATACCAGCTAATTTTTTATATGGATGGTATCAAATTCCATTAAAGCCAATGTGAGTGGGAATGAATCACATCTTACATGAGTATTTAGAACTACACCTACATTTTTAGCTTTATTATGTTTTGTAAATGTCAATTTAGTTTCTGCTGTGGATGATCTTTGCCTGCCAGAGACAGAATCAGAAGTGCCCTATTGTAACATGGAGCAAGTTCCTTCAACTAAAAAATATTTCATCAGAAATCTTAATTTAAAGCACATACCAAATTTATGCAAACTATCCAACTAATCAAGTAAAGTAACAATTCTCCAATTAAGATTTCTTCACTTGAGAGTGCATTTCGGTGATCAGGAAGGCAAGGAAGAACTTTTGGTTCAGGTACATAGGTTACCAGCAGAAAGGATAGTGTAGGACAGGGGTGGCCAAACTTGCTTAATGTAAGAGCCACATAAAAAAAAAGTCAGATGTTTGAGAGCCGTGTGCCATGAACTAATACTACACATTGTCACGACTCAGGTGTGGTGTCACCTAACGCTGCCACCACTCTGGTTCCAGGCTCCCTTGAGAAGGCCCAGAGAACCCTCCCAAGTCCTTTAGACCTCCCTTTTGGACGAATAACAGGCAGAGTACAACAAGGAATATAGTTTATTTTATAAGTGGTCAAACAAACAAGGTGCAGAAATATAACAGTAAGTGGGTGAAAAGAAATCAAATGCCCTAACGCATCTAAATATATACTGTCCCTAGCTCACTATTCCAAGTGGCACTAGACTACTAACCCCTCAGGATGAGGGTCTCTCCCCCATAGCAGTCTCTCCTGGCTCTGTTCCCTGGGAAGAAGAACAGCTTTTCCTGCTGCTCCAGATCTTTTATTCCAAGCCCTCCTCTTTTCCTATTGGTCAATTTTGGCTCCAAAATTGATCAGGGGCTTCTGGGAGTTGTAGACCCAGCCTCACCTACTGCTAGCCAGGCTCCCTGGGCCTAGTAGGCCTCTGGTGGCACAGCCCAGATCATGACACACGTTTTTACTGAAAAATATGAAGATCTGCTTTTGATTGACACTACGTGAGACTGCCAAAAATAAAAACGAAAGTTTTTACTGAAAATCACGAAGATCTGCTTTTGATTGACATTACGTGAGACTGCCAAAAATAAAAACGAAAGGGGTGAAAATAGATATTGATCATGATATTTAGTTGTCCAATGACATTTGTAGGGGGCGGGGCTTTGAGAACACATTTAAAGCTAAAGTTGCTTTCTTTCTCTGCTCCCCCCTGCCTCAAGCCTACCCAGGAAAGGGAACACTGGCTGGGGAAGGGAAGACCGATCAGGGAAGGGAGACATGCCTCCCCTTCGCTTCCCCAGCTGCCCTGCTGGGAGCCGCACAATATGTTTGAAAGAGCCGCATGTGGCTCCTGAGCCACAGTTTGGCCACCGCTGGTGTAGGAAGATACAGGGGCAATGAGGTGAAAGCGATACTGAAAGTACTACAGAAAGCACTTATGAGACAGCAAGGAGTCCTCAGACCCAGAAACAGTGTTTTTCCTGTTCCTGCTATACTCCAAATCCACACAGTCTTATGGCAGCCCAACTGTGTTCCCTAACCTATTGCTGCTACCAATTTATTTATTTTTAAAGTTCCATTAGAATAAAATACCTTCAGGTTGGAGGGACCCATGGCTGGCTTATTTTCAGACACAGGATTAGTATTCGTTACTTCACATTCTAGAGCTTTCAAGCCATCCTGGGAAACAGCTCTCTCTTGCGGCCACGCAGTTCGTTCCGATTCCCGCACAGAGTTCATAATGCACGTAGGTGTGACCTAACATTACATTAAAAAAAAAACAATCTGCTAACATTTCTTAAAGTACAGTATAATAAGGTACAATACAATAGTCATTCAGCAGCCTTCAAGTTAAAAAAAAAAGACCGATAAAGCCCTTTATGGTGCTTTAATCAGCTGGAAGGCAAACTGGACAGCTGGCTTATGAAACTCCTTTCTGTTGAGCATGTAGATCAGCAGGCAGCCAAGCATTACACTCTGTTCAGTCAAAAGACCAGCAAAGTAAATCGATGCCCCGTCAAGTGAGGAGACCACTCCCAGTCCATTGGAAAAGCTAATGCAACCACTACAGATGATCTGCAACAGGAAAAAAAGGCGCTTTTCAGCTGGGGATTCTCTTCTAACATGTCCTAAAGGTGACAGCGGCCCACACAAACCCAACTGTATAGCCCTCCCCTAGAAAAGAATAGAGGAGGGTCTGTCTGCTCTCCCACATACTAGGCAGAAAGGAACTTTGAAGTCAATCTACTTTCCCCTGCTCATTTGCTTGTAGAAGATCAAGCAGCAAGGGGAACCACAACAGCTGTAGGAAGACCCTTCTACCAGAGGATGACTTGGCACAGGAAAATGTTAGATACATTTCTAAGACAAGAAAGCTCATGAGGAGTATACTGCAAGTAAAGAAGGTACCCCAAGGCCTAACACGTGTCCCCTTGGAAAGGCAATATTCAGTAGGCGATGCTGAATCGCTCTGAAACATCATGGTCTTGTGCATATTCATCACTTCTGTAAATCTTGCCTGCTTAAGCTATTCCTATGTTGTCCAATGCTCAGACAGAAAAATCCCAAGGGATCTACCGTATATGGAACAGATAACCTTAGACATGAAAGCAGAAAAATCCCAAGGGATCTATATGGAACAGATAACCTTAGACATGAAAGTGGGCACAGGACTAAACCTGTCCTGTGACTGAAGCATAGAAATTATCCATCAAAATTCTAAATACATTCTAGGCAGTTTGCTACCAGGAAGTGATTTTAAGAGACAAGGGATAACATTTTAAGACCACCTCCCAGAACTTACAGTCACAGTGAATAGAAATCCACGGATTTACTGGAGTAGCTCTGCACAGGAGTGCATCGTAAGGCTGCTGTCTTGAGTAAAAGATCTTACACCATGGCTATTTCCCTGCATTCTTCTACAGAAGAACTGGGCCGCCACTGAAATGCAAAATGCCTTGATCCAGGCAACACATCTACAGTAGCAATCATAAGCAAGATGTGAAAGCTTTGAAACAGCTGACAAATACTTAGGATAAGCTCTTCTTTCGCCTCTGAAAATTGAAAGAGGAAAATTACTTTTCCTCTTTAAAAACCCTCCACACTGTAGCACTGTATCAAAATAAAATGAATTCTCTTACCAAAGGTCTGGAAGAAGTCAGTAATTCTGCTTTCAGATCCTCAAGTGTATGCAACAAGGTTGAAATGGTTTCATCATTTAATGCAGGCCAGTTAAGTCTTCTATTAAATACAGACCAGAAAGACTGATTAAGTGGTTATCCCATAGAATAGGCAGTCATCTCCTGCAGTAGGTCTAGGACCTCGTATATGTGCAGTCTGAATTGCTTAGAATGAAGGCATGATAAAACAGAGGGCCAAGTTACATGCACGTGAGTGATATGTGCCTCGATTGCTGACACATAATTTAGTTGCCTAAAAGCCTGATTACAGAAAGTGAATTAACTTTTTCACTTGTGCCGTTTCACCAACCGGATAGTTCCCTCCCCCTTGGCTTAAGTCCAGATGACGGGAACTTTATCCCTCACCTCCTCCAGTGCTGCAGCCCCAGTACTCATCATTACAGCAACACTTTTGCAGCTAAATTACAGCATGCCAGGTAGTATGCGAACTTTATAGGAATGAAGTTTAATCAGCCATTAAAAACAAGTGCAAACCAACCACATCCCAAAAGGTTATCTTGTATGAATACATCTGTATACTTTTTCAAGCAATGCTGGCAAATCATGTTCTACACCAATCTAAATACAGCATTTAAAAATCAAGACTCTTAATTTTTCTCAAATAAAAACTGATGTTTTCACTGATCCCATATACATGTAGTTAGTAAGCAGTGGAAACAATAATTCACAACTGATGGAGTGAATTCTGACTTAACAAAGGCCTACTTTTTGGAGAATCTGGTCTACTGGAATCCTGTTTAATGTTGCTTCAACAAACAAACATAGCTACCCCTCTGGAATCACAACAGCAATCTTTCCCAAATTTGTAGAATATATTTCCGAACTAGAAACAGGAACATTGCTTCATTAGAAATATCCTTGTAAAGAAACCTTACCTGTCTATACTTTTATACACAAACTCAGAAAGGTAAGTAGCAGCAAGGAGCAACTGCCCTCTGATGTTTTCTAGCTTCTGCTGTTCCATTTGCAGCAGTGCTGTGTTAACTGATATGTTGGTGGTACTATTTTTTGAAAGATGTGAAGGAAGTCTGTGTTGATTTCTATGAACCTGAAGATGCCTTTCCTGCTCTTTCAATTCTTCTAGCATGTGTTGCAGTTCCTCTATTCTCTCAGCGTTCTGCCAATGCTGTAGTTCCAACTATCGGAAATAAAAAAGTATAGCAGTACATCCTGTATATAAATATTAACAGTCAGTGTGGAGCAGTGGTTAAAAGTGCTGGATTTGATTTGGGGGGGGGGAGGGGAGAGCTGGATTCAAATCTCTACTCAGTCATGAAGGTGAGGGGTGACCTTAGGCCAGTCACTATCTCCCAGCCTAACCTACCTCTCAAGTTCATTTTGAGAGGGAGAAAGGGGAGAGGAGAACCCGGCGTGCCATTGTTGGGAGAAAGGGCATGATAAAATGATAAAGAATACCCAATCATCCACAAGCTGTAGACGTTAAGTGTATGAACCTTCAATCTTATGAAGGCTGCTGCTGTCAAGATATAGTAAACAGGGTTGCTCTTACTTCTTGTGTAGGAATGCATCTTATTTCAGGGTTTAGGCTTGACACAACCCTCCCCCCCTTTTAGTTTTAAGTTTCTCTGTCTCCCAGGAAGTCAGGCAGGAAGGGGGGAGTCCACTGCTTCCAAGTACCAACCATCCTGTCTGGAGACAATGTAACAGTCAGCTTACTCCTCACCTGGAATCTTGACACCTACGAGGGACACACAGATCTGGGGGTCTGAGGGGTTAAATTGTATCTTCCTGAAAATTTCAGGAAAGAATTTTTTGACCCATGAGAGAGGGGGAAAACAGAAGAGGTAAAATTCCTTGGCATGGATGGAAGGGACCTTTTTTTGCAGGTCCATCTTGGCTACCTACATATAAAGGAAGGTGCTCTCACATCTGAACTCTTGATGGCCACCATTGCCATGTGGAAAATTTCAGGAAATAATTTTTTTGACCCATGAGAGAGGGGGAAAACAGAAGAGGTAAAATTCCTTGGCATGGATGGAAGGGACCTTTTTTTGCAGGTCCATCTTGGTTACCTACATATAAAGGAAGGCGCTCTCACATCTGAACTCTTGATGGCCACCATTGCCATGTGGAAAAGACAGTCATCTGGCTGCCTAGACAAAATCTCTAAGATATTGGGAAGCTTTAGAAAGCCATAACTTCTATGTTAAAGAGCCTGCCTGAGAACAAGATCAGGTAGGGTATGTACAGAATGAGAGCTGGAGAACTGCATGTTTCCATCTTTCTTCTTTATTCCTTGCTCAGTCTGTTGCTGTGCGGAGAAGACATGTGAGG